AAATGAGTATAAGATATACGCTATGTAATAGAATCTACGTGTTTACATGAACTAATGGTATAAGCTATGAGACATGGCCTACGTGTTTAATTGACTATGTGAAATAAGTTATAAGATATGATGTATATGGTAAAGCCCATAGTATATGATATGAGAATTGAGGGTATAATTGGCATGCCAAGAGTCGAAGGTTCTATGCAGTCTTTTGGGATAATTCTACGTGGTCCTTCATGACATTTCTACGCGGTCATTCGGGACATCTATGTGGTCCTTTGGGACATACTATGTGGCACTTCGGTGTATTTCTATGCGGCACTTCGGTGCAATTTATACGAGCTATGGTGACAACATTTATGCACAACCTCAATGCACTCGCATATCTTTAGTTCTCAGTAATGTACCATGGGCTACTAAAAGACATAAAATACATTAATAATGCAAAATGTGATAAATGTTTGTTGGAATAAGTGCATAATGATATATGTACTCTTGTTTATTTCATACATGATGCATTAAGTAATTAGTAAAAGCATGTGATTGCATGTATCAAGAGTTCATTTATGTATTATATGTCTCACTAAGTCTGTGAGTTAGCGTGTGAGTGTTTTCTCACATAGGCTCAAAGAAATCAGAAGATCCAAGCTAGGACCAGTCGACATGACATTATCGATCAGTTAAAGATCAGATTAGAATTGATTTAAGCCATATGTATTTTCTTATATGTTATTTTGTTGGCATGTAAAGGGAAAGTTTAAATCAAACATGCTTTGAGCGATTTTGTAAACCCTTTTGATTATATTTATGTATATTATTTAGTTTTATTATAATAAAAAATTGAATTTTAATCTATCTTGTAAAAGAAAATATTTGTTAAAAGTTAATGTAACATCTCAAATTCGGAATACTGGTCAGGTGTGTTACATTAAATGGTATCATAGCTAAATCTTAGTAGATTCTAGGCATAAAATGAAGTCCAAAGTGTCCTAAAAAGTATACATGCCAACATAATAGTGAGAATATTTGATCTGATAAGTAATAAGAATGTTGTCTTGCTAATAGAATTTATTGATTATATCTTATTAATGTCTGAACATGAGAGCTCTCAAGGTGAAGCGGTAGATGATATACCTGAGGGAATTAGTAATTCACCTGCCCTGAGCAGGCAAGGTGAAGAACAGGCACCCCAGGGAGTGCCTATACAATATCAAAGAGCTTTTTTCAGGATGTTGGACGCTATCCTGATGCGTTTCCAACGTCTTGCTCCTTCAACCATCAGAATGAATGTAGCTAAAGAATTGAAAAGATTAGGAGCTCCTGAATTTAAAGGTAAAGCAGAGGAAGTCCTGTTATTGCAGACCTTCGGTTGAATTATGTGAAAACTATGTTGGAAGGTCTCCACTACTCTGAAGAAGGGAAGCTAGATGAAGTGATTTCACTGCTACGTGGACAAGCTAGAGTATGGTGGACGAATGTCACCATAAGAATGACAAGTGACCAAATCACATGGTCTTTGTTTTTAGAAGAGTTTAAACGCCAGTATAATGGAGATCAATTTGTAAGACAAATAAAGAAAGAGATTATGAGCCTGAAGTAAGGGAATCACACTGTATATGAATACGAGTGTGAATTTAATAAGTTAAGTCATTTTGCTGCTGAACTTGTTCCGACTGAGAAGGATGCATACAAATGGTTTGTTGAAGGCTTGCGTCCAAGATTGAAAGAAATGTTAGTAGTTTTGAATCTATCATCATTCCAAGAAGTGGTTAATCGTGCTAAAGCTCTAGAGAGAGCTCAGAACGAGAGGTTTAGAGAGCATAAAGTTCAAATGTCTAAGAGAGTTGGTACTTCGTCGAGTTCTGCACCATCAAAAAGATGCAGAGATTCTGGTTTTCAATCTCAGGTGAGGTTTGAGTCAGCTGCATCCTCTTATAGAGGATCAAATCCGATGAGATCCAGATAGACAATATCTGTAGGTTCTAGAATTGGGAGATCTAATCAGGGTCCAACCAAACAGTGTTAGCATTATGGAATGAATCATACTAGAATATGTTGGGCACTTTTTTGGAGCTTATTTTCGATGTGTGGACACCAAACATTTTGTCTGGGATTGTCCATTGATGGTTGGTGAGCCTGCACAGTCAGAGCAATCCGTTTCGGTATCCTAGATAGGAAGAGGAAGAGGTAGAGAAAGAAATCAGCCTGAGTCCTCTACTCAATAGGAAGTACGTTCAACTAGCCCAGTATATAATCTAAAGACGAGCGAAGAACGTGATGATCCAGAGATTATTGCAAGTACTTTCCAATTGTATGATAAATTTGTTTTAGTATTGATTGATCCAAGTTCAACTTATTCACATAATAGTAGTAAGTTGGTGAGAGCGTTGAGAATTAAACTAGATGCAATAAGTAGTTATGTGATAGTGAAAAACCCATTAGGGCATAGTGCTCGGGTAAATCAAGTTTGTTGAGGGTGTCCCATAAAGATTCAGGGAATTGAATTCCCTGCTAATATGATGGAATTACCCTTTTCTAAAATTGAGGTAATATTGGGTATGGACTGGCTATATCATTATCGTGCCAATGTTGATTGTAGACTAAAAAGATAATGTTGATAAGTCCGAAAGGATCAGAAGTGATTAGTGACAGATTTAATCCGTAAGCAAATATAATATTAGTAATGTCGGCCAAGAAAATATTGTTGAAAGGATATTAAGGTTTCATTGCTAATGTGAAAGATACTCGGGCTTAGAAGAAAGGATTAAAAGAGATTTCAATAGTCAGGGAGTTTCCAGATGTCTTTCCTGCTGAGTTGCCAGGATTACCTCCAGATAGGGAGGTTGAATTTCAAATAGAGGTAATGTCTGGAACTGCACCGATTGCAATGGCACCTTATCGAATGGCTCCAAAACAATTGAATGAGTTAAAGATTAAGTTGCAAGAATTATTAGAAAATGGATTTATCATACCAAGTGTGTCACCTTGGGGAGCTTCATTGTTGTTTGTAAAGAAAAAGGATGGTTCAATGCGTCTCTGCATTGATTATAGACAGCTCAACAAGGTGACTATAAAGAACAAATATCGCCTATCAAGAATTGATGATTTGTTTGATCAGTTAAAGGGGATTCAGTTTTCTCTAAGATTGATTTGCATTCTAGATATCATCAATTGAAGATTCAAGAAAGAGACATTCCAAAGACAGCTTTCAGGACAAGATATGGTCATTACAAGTTTATTGTTATGCCGTTTGGGTTGACTAATACGCCTGTTGCGTTTATGGATTTAATGAATAAAGTATTTTATCCCTACCTTGATAAGTTCGTGGTTGTCTTCATTGATGATATTTTGGTATATTCAAAGTCAAATGATAAACATCATGCTCATTTTAGGATAGTTCTGCAAACTCTACGAGACAAGAAGTTATATGCCAAGCTATTTAAATGTGAGTTTTGGTTAAAAGAGGTGGCATTTCTTGGGCATGTAATTTCTACCAAGGGGATTCGAGTTGATCCTCAAAAGATCAAAGCTATTTTAGACTGGGAAATTTCAAAGAATGTGTTTGAAGTTTAGAGTTTCTTGGGTCTTGCAGGTTATTATTGAAGGTTCGTTAAGAACTTTTCGATGATAGCTTTGCCTTTGACAAGATTGATGAGGAAAAATGTATCTTTTGTTTGGACCTCTGAATGTCAAGAGAGTTTTGAAGCGTTAAAGAGAATTCTGACAGAAGCTCTAGTTTTGGTCCAACCTGAATCAGGCAAGAACTTTGTGGTTTATAGTAACGCATCCTATAATGGCTTGGGATGTGTACTGATGCAAGAAGGGAAAGTAATGACATACGTATCCAGACAATTAAAACCACATGAGTAGAATTATCCCACACATGATTTGGAGTTAGTTGCAATAGTGTTCACTCTCAAGATATGGTGTCACTACTTATATGGTGAATGTTTCTAACTTTATACGGATCATAAAATCTTGAAGTATCTGATGACTCAGAAAGAGTTAAATCTGCGATAGAGAAGGTGGATCGAACTTCTTAAAGATTATGATGTAGTTATTGATTTCCATCATGGAAAAGCCAATGTGGTGGCAGACGCGTTAAGTATGAAGATATTCGTAGCTTTGCGAGCTTTAGATGTAAGGTTGACATTAGACGGAGATTGTGGATTATATACATAATTGATGTTGAGGCCAACATTGTTGAATCGAATCAAAGAATTGTAAGGTAAAGATGAAAGATGTTTGAGAAAATAGATCAAGTAAAAAATGAAGAAAATAAAGATTTTGAAGTTAAGCATGATGGGAATTTGTATTATAGAGGGAGGCTAGTGATTCCAAATGATGAGGAATTGAAGAATTACATGTTGAAAGAAGCTCACTGTAGTCTGTTGACGATGCACCCTAGTGGGAACAAGATGTATATGGATCTCAATAGTCGTTATTGGTGGTCGGGAATGAAAAGAAGCATTATGGAATTTGTGTCCAAATGTTTAACATGTCAGTAAGTCAAAGCTGACCATCAAGTCCCTTTAGGATTGTTGCAACCAATCTCCATTCCTTAGTTAAAATGGGAGAATGTGACCATGGATTTTGTGACAAGGTTACCTTTAAATCCGAATAAAAGAGATTCGATTTGGGTGATACTTGATTAATTGACTAAGTCAGCGCATTTCATTCCAGTACAAGTTGATTTCTCTATGGACAAGTTTGTTGAATTGTACCTCAAGGAAATTATTTGATTACATGGTGTACCTATTTCAATTGTTTCTGATCAAGATCCCTGATTCACATCGAGATTTTGGAAGACTTTACAAGGAGCTTTAGGAACTCGATTAAACTTTAGTACAACCTTCCATCCTTAGACAGATGGACAATCTGAAAGAATTATTCAGATTCTGGAAGACATGCTAAGAGCTTGTGTAATCGAGTTTAAAGGGTCTTGGGAGAAGTATTTACCACTTGCCGAATTTTCTTACAACAATAGTTATCAGTCAAGTAATAAGATGGCTCCCTATGAGACTTTATATAGAAGGAAGTGTCGTACACCATTGAATTGGTACAAGCTCAAGGATCGGGAAGTTTTGGGTCCCAAATTGATTAAGCAAGTAGAGGAAAAAGTTCAAGTGATTCAGCACAGTCTTAAAGTGGCATCCGATAGACAGAAGTCGTATGCTGATCATAAGAGGAAAGAGATTGAATTCCAAGTTAGAGATAAAGTATTCCTGAAAGTATCTTCGTGGAAGAAAGTATTACGTTTTGGCGGGAAAGGGAAGCTGATTCCAAGGTTCATTGGGCCATATGAGATTGTTAAGAGAGTAGGACCAGTGGCATATCAGTTAGCCTTGCCACCGGAAATGGAAAAGATTCATTATGTTTTCCATGTTTCCATGCTTCAAAGATATAGATCTGATCCCTCTCATATTGTTGCACCAAAAGAAATCGAAGTCCAATCTGATTTAATCTATGAGGAAGAATCGATGAAAATATTGGCATATGAGGTTAAACAATTACGAAATAAGAATATTCCATTGGTCAAAGTTTTATGGAGGAATCATAAAGTAGAAGAAGGAACCCAGGAACGTGAAAAAGATATGTATAAACAATATCCCTACCATTTTGTGCAGTGAAAATTTGAGGACAAATTTTCTTAAGGGGGATATTTGTAACATCCCAAACAATGGGTTAGTGACCAATTTGTAAGATTTTAAAATTTTGTGATCAAAATAGATAAATTGAAAAGTTCATGGATCTATTTGAAATATCTTTGTGTAGGATTGAATAGCAAAGATTCAATAAGAGAAGGCGAAAATGGTCTTTTGGAAAGAAAAAGAATTTAAAATTCATTCTTCTAGATATTTAAGTAAAGAAGAGGGAGAGAAAGAAGTATTTGGAGAAAGTGCTTATTCCTTCTTCCTACAGCCGTGAACCCCATTTTAGATGGTGAGTTCTTATAAGTTGGTTATTTCTTAAAATTTATTTTTGGTTTATGCTCTTTGGGTGATACATAAGTTTAAGGAAAGCTTAAGATTTCTTAAAACCAAAAGATGAAGGAGTTATGAATGATTAAGAGTAAGGGGTTTTGAGTAAATTGTTGAGAAATAGTTAGTAAATGAGTTTTGAAATAAAATTTGACTTGTCATGTGCTGGAATAAGAAATCTAAAGTGTTAGAAAAGGATAAGAACGATGTTGATAAGTTGGTATGATTTTTGGTTCTAAGTGTTCTATGAGAATATTTGGATGTTAGAGTGTGTTAAAGTGTTTTAAGTTAATCTTAATAAGTATGCTATAGTTTAAAGGTTTGAAAGGAGTTAAAAGTAAGGGTTATGGCTGGATTTGGAGAAAATTTGAAATGGAAAGGAGATATCTAGGCAAGGGGTATTGGTATTGCATGAACAGTACATATACTCCAAAGAAAAAAGTAGGTGATGTTTGGGTTGGGTATCGATACTGGATGAATAGTATCGATACCAGAAAGCAAAAGTGGATAAATTCTTTAAAGAGTATCGATATTGAAGGGGCAATATCGATACCAAGGGTACCGATACCATTATGTAAGTACTGATATCATTTTTAGAAATGGAATTCGAGGACCAAAAAAGGCTATCGATACTGAAGTATAATATCGATACCACAGTAGGGAAGTATCGGTACTGTACCTTGAGTACCAATATTATTCAAAGTGGAAATGTGTGTTCAATAGTTCTTTTAGTTTAGGTTATTGATGATTGATTCATAATGCTTAGAATTTCGATATTCGTATTGAATGTATATTTTTGTAGATATCGAACATAAGCAAGTTCCAGAATAGTCAACGAGTTAAGATCGATCAAGAGAGAGATAAAGAGTTATAGGAGTTGATTGGACTAAGTGAGGCTAATGTGAGTGCATGTTACTATAACATATGATTATATGGAAATTAGACGCGCGATGAGTCTTTTTCCCATGTTTTATTTTCATGATTGCATGAATACTAAAATGTGATTAATATGGTTTCTATGCATACTTAAGTACATGCATATTTATATATGTTACTTGCAATGTTATACACGAGTTATTTAATATATGTTAGTCTAGGTGTTACATGAACTATATGGATAAATGAGTTTAAGATGTAAGCTATGTGTTTACATGAACTAATGGTATAAGTTATGTGACATGACCTACGTGTTTAATTGACTATGTGAAACAAGTTATCAAATATGATGTATATGGTAAAGCCCATAGTCTATGATATGAGAATTGAGGGTATAATTGGTATACCAATAGTCGATGGTTCTACGCGGTCCTCTGGGACAATTTTACGTGGTCCTTTGGGACATTTCTACGTGATCCTTCAAGACATCTATGTGGTCCTTCAGGACATACTATGTGGCACTTCGGTACATTTCTATGAGGTACTTCGATGCAATTTATAATAGCTGTGGTGACAGCATTTGTGCACAACCTCAATGCACTCACATATCTTTAGTTCTCAGTAATGTACCATGAGCTAATAAAAGATATCAAATATATTAATAATGCATAATGTGATAAATTATTGTTGGAATAAGTGCTTAATAATATTTATATTCTTGTTTATTTCATATATGATATATTAGGTAATTAGTAAAAGTATGTGATTGTATGTGTCATGAGTTCATTTATGTATTATATGCCTCACTAAGTCTATGAGTTAGTGTGTGAGTGTTTTCACATGTAGGTTCAAAGAAATCAGAAGATCCAAGCTAGGACCAATCGACATGATAGTATCGATCAGTTGAAGATCATATCAGAATTGATTTAAGTCGTATATATTTTGTTATATGTTATTTTGTTGGCATGTAAAGGGAAAGTTTAAATCAAACATGCTCTGATCGGTTTTGTAAACCTTTTTGATTATATTTATGTAAATTATTTAATTTTATTGTAATAAAAATTTGATTTTTAATCTATCTTGTAAAAGCAAATATTTGTTAAAAGTTAATGTAACATCTCGGATTCTGGATACGGGTCGGGGGTGTTACACTTTTAACATGAAATAGTGAGTAACAAAGTGAGCTTTGGAAAGTTCAATAATACAGAACTACAAAGTGATGCTGAAGGACATACAAATAATAGGTAAGCATAAAACTTCCTTATTAATTCAGACATCTACAGATTTTATGTTAAGCTGAGGTCCCACTGATATCTAAGGTAGTAAAAGACAGAAATCTTTCAGTTCAAAGTAAAACTTCAAAGGACTAGATTTAGGATATCAGAATAGGGTGTCCAGTGTTCCCACAAAACCATTGAAAATGTACATATCTTTTTGAAACAATAACTGTTTAAAATGTATTTTTCAAAAACCATAGTAAAACCCTAGGCCCAAAGGGCGTAGGTGCCAACCTAAGAGAGCACCTTGGGTCCATAAGGTCTTACCCTAGCCGAAGTGTAGGTGCCCACATGAGGGGAGTGCCCTTAGTCCAATAAGGACTTACCCAATGCACATAGCAGAGGAGCCACCCTAAGGGAGTGTCTTAGGGTCCATAAGGTCTTACCACTAGGCCCAGAAGCACACCCAAGAGTCACCTTAGGTCCATAAGGAATTATCAGTTGGTGTTGAACCTATATAAGGAATTACCAGTAGTGGTTGAACCTGCCAGAGTCCCAGAGTATGCCGTATAAAAATAATTTCAGTCAGTAAATAGAGATATCAAAAATTAGAGCATAGATCAAAACAAAAATCAGATATCAAACTGTATTTCAGATAACATAGACATACTTTTAAAATCAAAGAAAACATCCATGTGATCAGGGAACACACTAGAGGTTCCAGATATTATTTGGAGATGATTGGTATTTATCAGATAGAGAGTTATGAAACTTCTATAAACTGATTAAATTTAGAAATGAGATCCCCATAATAGGGTTTGATAGTTGAAAAATTCATCAATTATTTAAAACATGATTTAATAGGATCATACAATATTCAAATATTTTTCGGAGGCACTATGAAATTAGAAAGGTATTTAGAATCCTATGCATCAGAGTTACTTGTGTTTTCATATATGACAAGAGTGATATTATTATTCAAGAAATCAAAGGCATTTTGGACATTAGGTTCTTGGAGAATTCTTAGTGAATTGATTTAATAACAGCGAAATGAAGATTCAGGGCATTTAAGATTTGTGTCGATCTATCGGAATATCGAGTTAACTCGAACTGTACAAATCCCAACAATGATACCTGTCAACCGGTCAAAACGTTTCACTTCAAGGGTATTCACTCTTTAATATAGATAACTCTTGTCAATTGATCATCTTCAGAATCATTGTTGAATTGATCTTATGGATACGAACATATATTCTGATGGTCTTTATTTCATTTCTACATTATAACGATATCAGAAATGTCGACATACTTGATTTGTGGTTAAAAACCCATATAGACGGTACAACATATAAAATCATCAGTGTTTCCAGACTTATCCAAGTTATTCACTTAATTCAACGTCATTGGGGTACTTAAATCAATTCGTATTCATGTTTATCCAGGTCACTTCAGAGTTTCTAGAGTAATTCTTTTTTTAACAATTCGAACATGTACAATACTTCCATTCAATTCAACTTTGTCATTTCGATCAATTCAGACATGTAAGACACTTTTGGTAATTTAACCTCCGGGTGTTCACTCAAGAATTAGAATTTTAAGTCATTTACCATCTCAAGGATCATGATCGATTAACATGATAATTTTCACTTTCTGGGAAAATCCTTATCTTTTATATAACACCAATATTTTCGTAGTTTCTTATTCAAGTATTTCCGACATTTAACCTATAATGAGGTTAATCAGAATTTACGAGTCCTGAGATTGATTGATTTACTAATTAATTCACTGAACTTAGATTTGTTTCCGATTGGTTAACCAAATTCTTTTACGAGTCGTCAAAGCCTTATATAGTTTTCTGTCTTTATTCCAATTTCCGTTTGAGTCCAATGATAGTTAAGTACACCTCATGGACCAATTATTTACATTCATGCATTTACCAATTACCAAGGTGTTTCGAAAAGCATAAAAAATGTAGTAGAGTATTACCTCAATTTCCATGCTACACTGATTGATAATTTAAACTCCATTCAATCACTCTCGAACTTGAATTCAATGTCCAATAATTTCTTGGATACATACCAACCGAATTTACGTTAGAAACTGAACTTAATTGAGAAAACAAATTGAATTCAAAGACAAAACATTGAAAAACAGATTACCGAGTGTGAATTTGGAAAAACGAACTTCGAATTCGGACTCAGAACGTCGAAAAACATAAAATAAGACTTTTCAAAATATTTTACCTTTTTTGTCAAAGTCAAAGTCAACGGTCAGACTGGTCAACTGGTTAGGTCAAAGTCAACGGGTTGGGTCGGGTTGGGTTGACTCGGTTGGGGTCAGATAGACTCGGTTCAGACCAGGTTGGGCCAGTTTAGACCCGTCAAGACCGGCTGAATCAGTTCTAGAAGGTTTCCAAGGTAGGCAAAAGAAGCCCACGTGCACGCGGAGGCGGCGACGGGCTTGTGGTGATCGACCGATTACTACACTAACATTTTCACACCAAAATAAACCATATCAGTACCAATAATCAACTAAAACCAAGCCAAAACAGATAAA